TTTCTCCCTGCCCTTCTTTAACAACCAAATAGAAACAGGTGTGCTGGGTTGTATGGATATACAAGCAGGTGAATTTAAGGGTTTCTCTGTCAACAATAGCTTAGCATCTTTGCCAGGGAAGGGGCAGCAAATGCCACTGACAGTCTCCCATAGGAGAAACACAGAGGCTCAGCTGTCAGGTGTCACTGGTGGGTAAGTTGAGATTCTCTTTCTTCATTAATGCTGTGGTATGTACAGCAAGCAGGTTTCTATGCTCTAAACTCTCTCCTGGGTCACAGTGCAGATGGTCAGGAAATAAAGGGGATTTCAGAATTTCTTGACACTTCCTGGGATAAGCTCATTAAAAACCTACCAAAAGATAATGAATAGGCGGGTGTGGTGGCTCACGCCTATAATCCTAGCACTTTAGGAGGCCAAAGCAGAAGGATAGCTTGAGGTCAGGAGTTTGAGACCAGCCTAAGCAAGAGTGAGACCCATCTCTACAAAAAGTACGAAAATTATCTGGGCCTGGTGGCACGTACCTATAGTCCCAACTGTTTGGGAGGGTGAGGCAGGAGAATCACTGGAGCCCAGGATGGTAAGGTTGCAATGAGCTATGATGACACCCCTACACTGTAGTCCAGGCAATAGAGTGAGAGCCTGCCTGTCTCAAATACAAAATAAAATAAAATGAAATGAAACAGAGAAGAGTGGTTTCATAGATGACAGAAATATAGGCTCTGATGAATTTTAGCAGGTTTATCTGATAATCTGGCAATCTTTAAAACCATGACAATTCCCATAAATTAACAAAGGAATGTCCTAGTAAAGAAAATGCCATTTAATCTCTTTCCTGCATTTGTTACTTTGCTATAAACTTTGTGTACTTCTCTGGGGAGAATCACCTCAGAATAGTCGTTACCAAACTTCAGTGAGCACCAAATTACCTGGAAGAGTTGTTAAAATGCAGATTGCTAGGCATTACCTCCATGATTTCAGACTCAGTGGGTTTCCTAAATTTTTAATGGATTATAATCTGTTATATGTATTATTTATAACTTTATGTACTAAATTATTTAATAAACTAATATTATAACCATTATATTATTTATAATAATGCTTATTTATAAACATCATTCTGATGTTCAAATTGTCCATCATCTGGTAACAGGGATTCTATTCCAGCTGTATTCTGTTTCCATTTGATATGTACCTGTCATATCTTGCCTTCTGCACGAGATATTCCTGGCTCACCCTGGACTTTGATGCTGTCCTGGAAATAGCCATTTTTTCCAAGGATCTGCATCCTTTTAGCAGAACATTGTATTTATAAATCAGGGTCTGGGCTTTATGTGTGCTCATTGCCGAAGGCAAAAGATTAATGTGACCTGAAGAGAAACCAGAGAGCATAGTGTGCTCATTGTTAATGGGTTGTCACCACATCCAGACTTGGTAATGGGCCAGAGTTAGAGAATATATGTATGTAAATGTGTGATATATATATATCATAAATGCACACAAATGCAGATTTGTATGTTTATATATTATTACACACTTTTGCGTCTATTATATTTATATATTGGATATATTGAAATATATAATACAGTATGTATTATATAAACTATATTATATACACATTATATATATGATATAGATATACTTAATATATGTAAGTCGCAGATTCCTGTGAGACAATCCAAGACTGTGAGCTTTCTTTCTAAAGGCACAATGGAAATTGTTTAGTTCAAGTATTGGAAAGAAGAGCTAATATCACATTCCTTCATTTGAAATAGTTGGCTTTGTTGTAGTAGTCCTAACAGCTTTCCTCTTTTGAATGAGAAAGAAGTTGCTGACTTCATTCAGGTATTTGTCTTACAGCCATTTTCTCTAGAGCATATTGCTTCTTTCAGAATTAACAGCATATATATTTTCTTTCTCCTTATTTCTGATTACTTGTTTTGAAATTCTTATGGAATCTAAGTTCTCCTCTTTCCATGTTTGCGACTTCTTCTCCTAGAGTGAGAAACTTGGCTCCCATTATGCTTATATACTCCCGTTTGATCCATCATCCTGTATGTTACCAATCCCTGACCTGCAGCACCACTCCCCACCCATGCGTGGACACCTTTCTCTCCCCTCTTGGGCTCTGACTTCCTACTCCAGGCTGCCACTCCACGTGGACACCCTCTTCACTCAACTCTGGCACTGACCTCCCATGCAGAGTTGCCCACCTGTGTAGATGCCCTCCTGATAAAAGCCATTCTCACTGGAGTTAAGCGACATGTCATTGTGGTTTTGATTTGCATTTCCCTGATGATTAGAGATGTTGAACATTTTTTTCATATTTTTCTTGGTGACAAGTCTGTCTCCTTTTGAAAAGTTCCTGTTCATATCCTTTGCCCACTTTATAATGGGGTTGTTTGATTTTTGTTGTTGTTGATTTTCCTGAGTTCTATATAGATTCTGTTTATCAGCCCTTTATCAGATGTGTAGCATGTGAATATTTTCTCCCATTCTGTAGGTTGTCTATTTGCTCTAGTTTCCTTGGCTGTGCACAAGTTTTTTAATTTGATCAGGTCCCATTTATTTATTTTGTTGTTGCTGTGATTGCCTTTTGGGGTGTTCTTCATAAATTCTTAGCCTAGCCTGATGCCTGTAAGTGTTTTTCTGATGTTTTCTTCTAGAGTTCTTATCATTTCATGTGTTAGATTTAAGTCTGTTAGCCATCATGAGTTGATTTTGTGTGTGTGTGTGTGAGAGGCAAGAGTTGCAGATCCTGTTTCAGTCTTCTACATATGGCTATCCAATTTTCCATCGATTAGGGATTCTTTTTCCCAGTGTTTTTCTTTTGTCTGCTTTTTCAAATATCAGATGGCTACATAAGGATGGTTTTATATCTGGGTTCTCAGTTCTGTTCCATTGATCTATGTCTCTTTTCTGGTTTGATCTTCTATTCAGACTAGGAAAACTTTCTCCATATAAACAGTAAGGCTGTTTTGCTTTCTTATTATTTGTGTGCTCACTGGAACACACTTTTAATTGCCTTCAGTAACTTTTCCTTTACATTTACAACTTGGCATAAGAGGCCTAGCTTTGTGCCTATCTTGGATTTCAACATTCCTTCTTCACTAAGCTTAATCATTTTTAGCTCTTAATTAAAAGTGAGAGACACTCGACTCTTCCTTTCACTTGAACATTTAGAGGTCATTTTAGTGTTATTAATTGGCCTATTTCAATATTATTGTGTCTCAAAGAATAGGGTGTCCAGAGGGGGCCACAGGCATGAAAGGAGGAACTAATCAGCCAGTTCACATACTATACTGTTACTAATTTTTCCTCTGGAACATTTGCTCCCCCATCAAGCACCCTTACAGAGTTCTGCATGAACGGTGCAACATGGAAAAATGGAAGGTGTGTCTGTACAGAAGAGTGGAAAGGACTGAGATGTACAATTGGTAAGTTACTGGGGTGTGAGGTTTAGGTGACTTGTGTTAATAAGAAGAGCGGCAAGGCTTCTGGAAGCTTCAGTTAATGATTACAGAAACAGTGGGCATAATAATGATGTTTTAAGATGTGTTTATCAGTTCAATAGTCAACGCTGAATTTTCTTCTTGGGCTATTTACCTATACATTCACTGTTCCTTGTCTGTTTTCTGAGTATCAAGTTTCTCTGCAAACTCACAGTTGTTTTTTCTTCTGGCTGCAATGTCTAATCCAGGGCAATGGTGATATTCTCTCAGGTTCTTTCAATAGGTGACATGCAATATTACCCTATTTCAAATATCACTATTTAAATTTTTCTAAAATTATCAACCTATTTCACATCTTCAAAAAAAATAAAATAAAAAAAATTAAAAAAAATAAAAATAAATTTTTCTAAAATTAATATGCATCTTCCTATACAAGTTTATAATTAAGTTTTTGTCTTTTCTTCCTTTTTCTTGAAAAGTTGTCACTAAATTAGTCATATGATCTCAATCAATGCTGTCTCAGAACCAAAGTTCAAGGGCATTTCTTGATCTGAAGTGTGCTTCACAACACTCTGCACAATTCATATCCTCTGCTTAGGATCCAGAGCCCTAGATGTCCACTCCTGTCATTTCCTGGATTCCTACCAGCCAGTATATTGTACACACCCCATGACTTTGGCCTTTTAGCTTTGACCCATATTCTTGTGATACCACTGTTGACTCTATATTTTTAATTCTCAAGATTCCACGCTCTCCTTGCTGATGTGTTAATGCTCACATTCCACCTCTACCCAGATATGTATTGTACAAATTTTAACTGGAGTCTGTTATCTAACATACTAGTTATTCTAATGGCAGTAACTTAACCACAGAGTATTGAAATATTGAAGTTCCTCACAGGCCAGTGTGTTCTATTAGCCTTCTATTGCCCTTCCAATTACACTGCAGAGATTCTGAATTTGACTTTTATCTGGTTTCAACTTGAAATAGAAAAGTATAATTTATAATAAAAAATGTTTTTCTTTTCATTACAGATAATTTCTGTGAAAATAGTACCTATATGAGTTTGACTTTTGCCAGAATTCTAGTGGGCAGATATGGACCTTCCTTGCACACATGTGGCTAGGATATACAATGTGCTATGTGTTTTTCCAAACATCTTGTCTATTTAGGCATAAGAATCTCTACACTGTGTCAGACCTAATATTTTCTCCAGCTGGCTTGAGATCTCTGGAAGAGGCATCATGGACTTGGCTCCCTTTCATGATGCTAATGTTTTAAGTTTAGGGTGGTGCTTTCCATAACCCTAAATTTCCTAAAAACCCTCTTTTCTCAATTGTTTTATTTTTTCAGATTACTGTGTCTCCTAGAGTTTGATCAGTTTAACATTTGCACTTTGAGTTATATAATTTGTTTCAATTTTTATAATTAGTCTAGGTTATAGACTTAGACCATATCTACTTTCAGACTCTATCTTTCCAGGTAGAGATGCACAGTAAATATGTCCATAGTTGGTAGTCCTTCATCTCCTTTTTGGTCATTTTATGGTCTATGGGCCAGGTTTCTGTAAGTTGGGTGGAGGCGGAGGCCATTGCCAGTGAGTACAACGCCCAGCAAGAAGCATGTGAGTGGGAGGAAGAAAAGAGATTCCTTTGGAGCTGTTGCAAGGCTGATGCTGGCGAAATATACTTGCCTTCCTCTAGCTTTAAGCAGTATCTGCTAGGAGTGTTAGTTCCTCAGTACTAATGATCCTTGGGCAACTTGGGCAAAGGTAAAAGTGGGTTACGTTTATGTTGTGTTTTCTTACTAGTTGATTTTGTCATGAGTATGGGTGCGTGCACATGTGTGTCTGTGTGTGTTGAAACTGACTATAAGATCGCAAGTTTCAGCCTATTGATTTTTTTTTTTATTCCTGAATTTTTTCAGCATCACCTAAGAATCAAAGACCCAATTTTGGCTGCTGCTTTCTTATTCCTTCTGCCACAATTCTAAGGTGCTTGATCTACTGCAACCAAGGATGATGAATGGCTCGGAAGGGAGAATTGAACTGAAACAGCCTAAGGTTAGTTTATGCAATTCTCAAGTAACCTTTGGTATAATAATGTGGAAAGAACAAGAATTTTTGGTTCATAGAGACCTAATTTGAATCCTGACTCTATTGTGTATTTGTGACATTGTGCAAGTAACTTATTGTGGGTTGTAGCTGATTGAGGCAAAGCTAAGCCTAGCCTAATTCTACTGATTGTGTGGAAATTTAATTTCATTTTATGTTAGGATCTAGCACTGTGGTTGGATAGGCAGAGTAGATATTGAAGGTATGTGTTCTAAAAGCTTTACATGATTTCTGTAGCATTTCCTCCCTCTGAGACCTTCAGAAATATGGAAACTAAAGCATAAGGACTGCTATCTACTCTTTCTATCCATCCTTTCCATCCATCCATCCATCCATCTGTCCATCTCTCCATCCATATATCCATCTATTCATTCATCAGTTAGGTACTATACCACTTACTATATACATGATACAGTTCTAAGATCTAAGGATTAAGCAGTGAAGAAAAATAGAAACAATTCTTCCATTTATGGAGCTTTCATCTAGGAAAGGAGGAAGTGCAATAAATAAAGTAAGTTAGTAAATCATGCAGTATATTAAAAGAGTATATATTATAGGGAAAAGTGAAGCAGGAAAATGGGGTGGGGTACTGAGAGAGTTTTTAATAAGCAATGAGAAAAAGTCTAACTGAGAATCAGCTCCCCTGAAATGTTCTGAACACAAGTGGCAGACAGAGTCTTCTCGTTACTACCAACCAGCAGTGCCTGTTGCTCTTTTATCCTCCCTCATGTTTATTCACTTCTCCCTCTCCATTTTTGGCTCATGAAAATAACTTTTTGGTAGCACAGAATATGACCTTAGGGTTTTCCTTTAGAACTGTGTTCATATGCAAGTAGATGTCAGATGAAGGATACATTGGTGAGCCCCCTCTGTGCTGCCCGTACCGGTTTCTGGAAAGTGATATCTTCTGCTCTATTAGCTGTGTAGCCTCACACATTGGGCATCTACCTCCAAAGCCTTTTATTAATAACATCTGTATCCCTGCCCCGCACAGCCCACAGGGACCTCTGCATGTTCAGCTAGATATGGCCCCTTGTGGAGCTGGGCTCTGTTTCTAGTCTTTTCTGCCTCCTTTTGAGGAGCAAGTAAGCACAGGCTTCCAGCCTAACTTCACCTCTTTGGGCAACAGCAGCCTCTGCCTTCACCATTTCCCGTCCCAAGATAGTGGGAGCAGAGTGTATCATCACCAATAAAAGCCACTCTCTTTCTCTGCCTTGGTCCAGGAGCTATGGGAACAGGAGAAAGCAAGTCAAGGACACCATGGTGTCCCAGCCAGGGTGGGACCTGGAAGCTGCCTTTGCAGTATGAGGACGGGATCTGCATCCAGGAGATACCTAGTCTCCCTTGGCCCATGGTGGCTGATGCGTGGATGAATGTTTTGTTAGCTTCCATGAAGGGCGCTATCTGCTTTCCATTCATTTTCAGAGTGTTAAAGAACCATTTTAGAAGCTCAGAGTAAAGCTCAGTGATTGTAGCTCTTCAGAGGACTTTGGATACCTTTTAATTGGGTTACAGTAGAGCTTAAGTTCCTTCTTCCATGTGCTGAGCTCCCTGTTGGCAATCTGATGGTTGGGGGCCCAAGGCTGAATCTCTGGCTGAGGCAGGGTCTGGTGGACATTAGCTTTCTGGATTTGGATCTGAGAGGTAGGTTCTTCTTGGCAAGGACCGTGGGAGTGCCACACCTGCTTAAGCACATCGACACACATCCACACCATGTCTCTCTGTGCCATCTGGGTGGGCCTTCTTTTGCCCATTCAGGGATAGGACAACAGCAATGCCAGCCAGAGCTGTGGTGACAGGTAGGGCTGGTCTGGAAACTGTTTGGGTGGCCAGAACCTCATTACAATATTTGTTGTTTATTCATTTATTTTTGATGGTTCATGGTCCTAACATTCCATCTTCCATCTGAAACATCAGAAGCACCCCCACACACAGACTGGCCTTGGCTTGTGCTCATATTGAGAGACTGAATCCTGCAAGGCTTGCCTCATCCAATTGTGGCTGCTGTCACATTCACTACCCTCTATCTTTTGGCCCTGTGCTAATGAAATTTTTCTCAGAAGTCCTAAGTCCCTGGTACTGCTCACTCATCCCCTGTAGTTTAACTCAATGCATCCCAATCTTTTTCATGTCACAGTATACGTAGACATGGCAGTATTTATGTAGACAGGAGGGCTCATTCCTAGGGCAATAGGCCAGTGAGGTGTAGCTACTATAGTCCTTGCCAGTGTGACCCTCACGTGGCTTTTCCTGGGCCTTAGGTGGTTTTTTTTTTCCCTCTGGCACCCTTGTACTCACCAGGGGTGCACAAGGGTGCTGCAGCAAAGGTTAGAAACTCTGGCCCAAGATCTAGCACAGACCACGATCTCAAGTGCATCGAAGAGTTCCTTCCATAAATATCTTTCAAAGTGTACCTAGAGGGTGGAAATTCTTGCCCAGAATTGTATTTGAGAGATGTAAGTTATGTGGTCATGTCCATCACTTCATGCATTCTGGTACCAACTGTCCTTCTGGAAAAGGGGGTAAGAAGAATTTTACCAACACTGCATGTCCCCAGTCCCATCCAGGCTAGCATGACCAGGCTCCTTGGTTCTGTGGCCACATCCTAATTCTTAGTGCTGTTTCTCTCTACACTACCACATTGTGAAGTATTTCACTTGGGTTCTACATATTCCTGACCTACCAGCTTTGCTATATCCTCTGGGTGGTGTAGAACATCACCTGTTATGCAGTGGTTGGAGGCATCATGGGTGCCCTGTTGGAAGAGTCTGCTCATGGGGTCATGATCCACACCTGAATACCTGGTCTGGGTGGAGGGCAGACATTGCAGAGGACACTCTAGTCCTCCTTTAATCCTTTGGACTATGTGGTACCAGGTGGTGCTTCTTACATTTAAACAGGGCTATGGGCTCATTAGTCTATCCATTCATTAATTTACTTGTTTAACTGTTTGAAAATGCTATTCAATAAATGCTGTGTACCAGGAATATAAAGATTAAAGACATAGTCCTTGCCTTCTGGGAACTCACAATCCATTGAGGGAGATCCTAGAAGCAAACAATGGTGGTATGCCTGAGAAATTCCAGAACAGTGTCTCAGGAAAACAGAAAAGGAGAGGTTCTCATACTTGGAGAGTTGATCAGACGAGGTTCCCTTGCTGAGATGAGATGATTCTTGGATTATGTTTTCTTCATTCTTTTTATTCCTTGTTGTTGTTGTTTTTTCAACTGAGTTATCTGGGATGTGTATGAATTGGATGAGGAAGGAATGGGCCCCAGGCAGCAGGAAAACTGTACAGAGCTAGGGAGAAAAACTGTACAGAACTTGGAAAGCTAGGGGAACTTCAAGTGCCTCCATTTGGTTTGGTCATAGCAGAGCCATATTGGGCAGCAGAAGCAGATGAGATGAGGATCAATTGAGGAGAGGAGACTCTCACAGTAGCCTGTAATGGTCAGACCCTACTTTTGGAAGGAGAGTGTCTGTGGGATTTGAAATAATATATTATAGGAGCCCTGGAAAGTTTCACCTGGAGGAGAGTGAAATCTTGATGGCAGTCTGGCTTGACTAAGTTTGTTATGCATGGCTTCTGTGAGTGCATTAGGATGGTGGGGGAGATCGCATTCTGAATCCTGCATCTTCCATTTGGAAGACGGTGTGATGTTTGGCAAGTGACATGAGATCTCCAAACCAGTGTCCTTATTTATAAAGGTGATTCTAATAATACCTACCTCCCCAGGGTTGATATGAGAATTAAATTTCATAATGTATTGATAAATGAAAGAGTCCAACATAGCAAGTACTCAACAGATACTGGTTTCTCTTTCCTTCCCATCTATCTTTTTTCTAACTTTCTCTTTTCTTTCTTTCATCCCTTCTTCCATTCCTTTTTCTTCCATGAACTCATTATTAGTTGAGTTATATATATCAGGCACCTTGAAAGATCTACTTGGTCCAATATGGTAGCCACCAACCACTTGTGACCATTGAATACTTGAAACATGGCTAGTACCAAGTGAGGTTGTATGAAGGTTAAAAGAGAGAAAGCAGGTATCCTTTCTCATACTTTATATGCTTCTCTCCTTTTAGATTCTAGAGTTTCTAATAGTCGCACTCCCTCCCTCCACCCACTCAGTAGAACGACTTCACTCTACACAGGAGGAAACAAGAAAACCTGAGATGGGAAGTAGGCTTTTCCAAGCATCACACAAATTAGGGACAGAGCCATGTTTGGAGTGCAGGTCCCCTTCTTCTAAGCCATTGACACGTCACTCTGTTTACCCTTCTTGTTAGGAACCTCTTCACATTGACTTCATCTTTCCTAGAGGTGATTCAACCAAGGGTAGACACCTGGCCCAAGGGGTGGGCCATTAGTTCTACAACTGCATTTAAAGAGGTCATTGCATTGATTAGAAGCCATGCAAGGGGTAGGGGCAGGTGCCATAAGCAAAGGGCAGTAGTGAACAGCAGGCTTTCTTCTTCCGTGCACAAGTGACCCTTGGCTCACTTAGGTTATTGTCCAAGGACACAGTGATCCAAGAGGGGGTCTGTGAGAAATGCTACCACCAAGCACCTCACCAAGGTGGTGAGGAATTGATTCCATAAGCCTCTGAAACTCCCTCGAGCAAGCATGGTGATCTCATCAATGGAACAATGGTAACAGTGCTGTCACTCTGCCTTCAGCAGATGCAATTTATCCACATCACAAAAAACACCATACCCCCTAAACTTTTTGAAATATTTCAAAATAAAACCTAGAACCTTGCTGCTCGTTGGGTCAGAGGCAAAGGTTGTTCTTACCTTTGTCTCGGGATCTCCTAGATACAAGCATCAACATCTCAGTGAAACTAAAAGACTTGATCGAGTTTGACAATTTAACCAAAACATGTTTTTGCTTGACTTCCTTCTTTACATGACTCTAAGACAAGCTGAAGAGTGAGGGTGATGCTGGAGATCGTGATTGTGGTGACAGTGGACTGACTGGCCCCAGGAGTTCCTGCGGTGGTCTTCAGCAGCTGAACAAATTCTGGGTTGTGCAGGTGGTGGCAAGGGGACAAGAGGATGAGAATGTGGATGGCAAGCAAGTAGCCGAAATGAGGGTTGTTGGGTCTAGGCTGGGTAGGGAAGAATATGAAGCTAAGAAGAAGTTCACAGGCTGGGCTAAAAAGAGGATAAGACTCCAAAGTCTTCAAAGTCTTTGAAGCACAGGGCAGCAGGAGAAGGTAAGAGATTGCAGTTGGACAATTTAGCATTTATTTATGACATACAGCATTTCTCTGAGATTCCAAGAAGTTCCAGGCATGGCTCAGGTTGAGGTGGGGATATACATCAAGATTGCAGAGTCAAATAACCAAGGAACTTTTCACTGGACAGGTCATCATCACGGACGCTGAAATTACCTAAGCTGTGGGGGAGTGTCCAGGAGGTCTTTGGTGTCAGTGACAAGGCTAGAGAGAGATGTGGTCAGATTGCAGGGCTTCTTTTTTTTTGGTTGTGTTGGAAATGTTGAAGAAGAAGCTCAGGATAATGGAATTTCTTCTTACTTTCAAACTGTGACTACTGAACATTTAAAATGATAGATGGAGGCCGGGCGCGGTGGCTCAAGCCTGTAATCCTAGCACTCTGGGAGGCCGAGGCGGGCAGATTGCTCGAGGTCAGGAGTTCGAAACCAGCCTGAGCAAGAGCAAGACCCCGTCTCTACTATAAATAGAAAGAAATTAATTGGCCAACTAATATATATATATAAAATTAGCCGGGCGTGGTGGCGCATGCCTGTAGTCCCAGCTACTCGGGAGGCTGAGGCAGAAGGATTGCTTGAGCCCAGGAGTTTGAGGTTGCTGTGAGCTAGGCTGACGCCACGGCACTCACTCTAGCCTGTGCAACAAAAAAAAAAAAAAAAAAAAAAAAAAGATAGATGGCTTATGTAATTTAAGAAACATTTAAGAACAACAAATATAAAATTACACATTATAATACATATCGTGAAGACAGGTATCTATGCAGAGGAAAACCAAAGGCCTAATTAGATCAGCTGACCAAAGAAAGCCTCTCTGAAGAAGAGACATTTGTGCTGAGCCCTGAGGGAGGATTTCCTACACAGAGTTTCTAGCCAAAGGTGGGGACAGAGCATTCTAGGCAGAGGAAACAGCCTGCCGGTGAATGTTTAATGAATCTCCCAAAAGCAAAGTCTGTGCTCTGGAAAGCTGTGGGGAAAACTATGGGTCGGACAGACCCAAGCAGGATCCCTAACTTTGTGGAGGTTGTGGTGTAGGGAGACAGGCAGGACCTGAGAGTGCAGGGATGTGATGAGTGCTGGGTCCAGAAGCCACTTCTCCTTTCTTCTTCCTGTCTCAGAACCATCATTGACGACAGTCTTCACCATGCAGGTCCCCTAGTCAGGTCTGTTGTTCCTTCAGGGTGTGTAGTGAGTAACACTCACATTTGTCCTTTTATTTGCTGTTCCCACCATCCTGCTCTGAGTCACACTCATCATTTCAGAAATGAACATCTGCAATAGCCTCTTGGTTTGCTTGCCCCCAGCCTCTTTCTCCCTTTCATATATTCTGTGCATGGCTGCCAAATTCATCTTTGTGCAATACCATGTAGCCCATGTAACTTTCTTGCTGCAAGGCTTTTACTAGCGGCCTGCTGCTTGCAGAGGAGGACTCTGCTGTGCCTCTCTCACTTTTGACCCTCACCTTTTCCTTCTACAGATAATGAGACAGTTTTCAGAGAAGCACAACCTACAGCCAACCTCTTTTGCTGAGATTCTCTAAATCCTCCCCTTCAGCCATCTTCCCATATCTCTACTCCTTTCCTGCATCGCCTGTGGTGATGGCATTAAGACTACTGGGACTTAGGGATGCTATGTGTGAGGCTGTGGGAGGAAGGGAGGTGAAGGAATTGCCTAAGCAGAAGCCTGAAATAAGTGCAGATGTTAACTGCCTACTTTGGGGACATATATCAGCAATCTGGGAGTACAGCAAAGCATGCTCCAACTGCAGAGCCTAAGGGGTCTCATGCATGAAAAGCCACAGGCGGCCTGACATGAAAACTTCTCATGGCTGTAGAGGTAGATTGCAATATGTCATCCTGGCAGAAGGGCCTCAAGGCTTCCATAATGTTTCAACACTGGGCCAAGTTCCTTCTCTCCCTTTCTCTCAACAGTGCTTCAGTTAATGTAAAACCAGTCTCTCAGTGGAAAGCATGAAGTTTCCTTGTTCTTTGATCAAATGGGTCTCAGCTACTGACATTTAAGATTGATTTCCATGTACATAGCTTGAGCTTGGGATAAAATCAGTCTACGTTGATTGAAAGGGTTGTGCCTACTGAAGAATTATGTGTTTTTCGCTTCTAGAAAGGAGAAGGAAATTAGCTAGGACACCTTGCAATTTTGGGGGGAGCCCAAAACCTTTGATCATTGTATCTCGTGATTTTTTCACATGAGATCATTGTATTTTGCAACATAGCAAAGAGAATAAAAAGCAAGTGCTGGAGTTCAGTCACTGCCACCTTGGCACTGGAGAGCTGGTGGTCCCCATGACCTCCCCGCTTTCTGAACTATTATTTCTGTGTCTGTGTCTTTGTTTCTCTCACCCTTTGGAACGCAGTCTGCCAGGGGACCCTATCTTTATCAGGGATGTCCCAAACCCCCGATACTGTGGGCCAGGTGTGCTCGAGTTCTACTGTCCTTCAAACACTGAGGGCACTGTCTCCCAGGGAAGGGTGAGAGCACATTAGCAGGAGCACAGGCTCTGGAGTCAGTCTGACCCCAACTTCAAATCCCCGCTCTGCCATTAAACTAGCTGTGGCAACCTTTCCCAGAAGTCAATTATCTTTTCTAAGCTTAAGTTTCCTAATCAGTTAATACCAGGAGGCTAATAGTAATTGTACCCCTGGGAGTTGGGTGGATAAGATGAGCCATTATATATAAAGCATTTCATAAGTGCCTAGTGCACAAACCATAAGTAATATGGATTAGACAGAAAGGGAGAAACAGAGAGAGAAGTCTATAAGCTTTACAGAGAGGTCTGTAAGTCTAACTCTGCATTTACCTCAACAATGATTGAGAAATATTATAAGCATATCTGGATCATCTAGATGAGCATCTTAAATCAAGGTTCAACCAGTGATCTCAGGGCTGGAGTTTGCATTTGTATTTAGGATCATGATGGTGGACAGTAGCATTGCTTCATTAATAATTATAAAGGGTTAGTAAATAAAAAAGATGGCTTTAATATGCCAAATGACCTTTCAGTGGATTTTAGTTTGAACAGAGAATTTAATAAATTTTGGTCACACGATAATGCACATACTTTGGACAAAAAAATTACACTGTAGCCTTCAGTGCCATAGTCATGCTGTGAAAGTCAATTTATTTTAGCAAAAATCAGTTTCTATTAATATTATATTTGATTTGCATTAATTTATTTGATTTGTGTTGGTTTATAGTTTTGCTTATAATTAATTTATAAATTTGTTTCATTTTTTATAGTTGTCTAAATAAATATTTTTAATGTTTAAGAAAGGTTATAACACAAGCAACTTAAGTCAACATACTGGCTCTGAAAGAATTCTTTTTTCCTCTTTAAAAGTTCTGCATGTTGCTTGAATTTGGGAAATATTGCTTATCTCATGCTTGTTTTCATAGGGCTATTAACTTAGTCTCACATTGAGTATAACTCATCTTGTTAAGGAGTGGCCCCCACTCAGTGTATTTAGACTCTAATACTTGTGCCTAGAGACCAACACTCTGGAACACTCCAAGAAAAAGAGCAGTATTCACAAAAGTGTAATTAGGGGCTTCCTCCCCTCCCTGACATCATCTCAAACCACAGAACAGAGGCACTTGCCTCCTTCTGTATCTTTTACTGGTGTCTTATAAGGTCTGGTAAGTGGAGAATCTTAGGCCAACCCTACACATTACCAAAACATCTCTTTGGAAAGATAAAAAGCAAACCAAAAATCTTCTGTGTTCTCTACCTTTACGGTGCTTAGGAGTCACCTGGGGATCTTTAAAAATACAGATTCTGAGGTCTAACCCTCCCAGGTGAAGCTGCTGGCCCGTACACCATATGTTGAGTGACCTGTGTCTAAACAACTGACTGTTTTGTCTTTATGACACAATCATTTTTCTTGACTTTTCCTTTGATAACTCACAGAAAGCTCTCAGCACAGTTTGATACAGATTCCTCATTTGGTAATTGTTCATTGTTCTTGTTAAGGTCGTTACTATTAGTTTGGGGGCATGAAGGTGGAAATGACAGGAAAGAAGGTAGGTCTTTGGAGATGCACAGGCCTGAGTTTGGACCCCAGCTTTGCCAATTATAAGCTATGCCAATTATAAGCTATGGCTTGACCTGGGCAAGATTTTTAACCTTTCTAAGTCTCTGTCCTTTCAAATGTAAAATGGGAAGAAAAACACTCCTCATGGAATTGAGAGCATTCTGTACAGCTCTGTATTATAGATATGCCATGCCACAGTTGCCAACGCAGGGGGAGAGAGATAAAAGAGTCATGTAGAGTCTTAACTGTTACAGCCTGTAAGTGACATATGCCAGTTTTGCTCACAGTCCATTAGCCAGAATTCAAACAGGGTTCCAATCCAACTGGAGGAGAAGCTGGGAAAAGTGGGAGCAGCTCAGATATTGGATGAACACTAATGGGTGCCTCCTTGCACTGGATGCTTGATAGTTTGAAATAATCTACTCGAAAAACTTTGTAGGCCATTTCACATCATTTCAAGTTTTAAAATAAAGGTAATACTTTCCTATTACTTTCCTTTTAATATGCTTGAAGGGCAACTGTATGGTGAAGTGCATACTGTCATTTAAAGAAATCCTTTTGATCTCTGTGTTAAAAACAATAGAACCTTTGTTTAATAGTTGTGCTATCTAGGCAAGCATTTAACTTGTATCTCTCTGTATCTCTCTGGAAAATGGCATAATAATACCTCATTAATGGGTATGTTGCAAAAATTAGGTTGGAGATCGTATGTGAAACATTTGACATAGTGACCAGTGCATGGTTAAGTGCTTATCAAATGTGAATTTTTAATGGTATTTTTGATATTGTAGTGGGATCTACTATTGTCCCCAGTGATACAGTATCCTCTGAATCAGTGCTATATCCATGATCATTGGAAGATGGTGTACTTTATGGGGACAAGTGATGTTTTGTCCATGTTCCAGAAATTGTTTTTATCATCTGTATGTTCTTGTAGGTTACAGGACATTTCAAAGGTCATGCTCTCCCTGCAACCTTCTTGATTATTTTGAGCCTTTGGTGGAGCACAAGGAATATTCTGAAATATGTCTGTAAAAAGCAAAAGCAGACGTTCTACCTTGGTTCCAAAGCATTATTCCATCGACTAGAACTTTTGGAAGGAACTGTACTAGTTGGCATGGCTTTAACCGGTGAGTAGACCATTTCTGTGTACTATTTTCTCCTAATGGATATTTTCACAATCAAAGAAAATATCCAATATAACGTCAAGAAATTGCCAAATAAATTTTTAAATAAAAAATCTGTTAACACATTCTAATTTTACTTTCTCTCTGACATATTAATAATTTGTTAGGAAGGTGATATTCATGTTTATACAAAGGCCTATTTATGAATTAGTCACAATAGTTAACTTGCCTACACAGTTAAGGTAAATTTCCTTTATAGAATTGGTTGGAGCTTCTGAAATCATTTTATATCTATTGTTCTGATCCCTGAAAGAATGAACCCATTCAAAACCAAAAACTATTTTGGAAACAACCACAAAATAATGAAGTGATTATGGAAAAGGTTCAATAATAAATCATTGCTGAGAGGCTGTAGAAGATCTTACCTCGTGCACTCATCCTTCCTTGATTCCTAAATTGGACCAAGAGGTTAGGCAACATGACTTATTGAGGTCTTTCCACTGACTATGAAGATTCTATGAAAATGTGCTGTGTTTTTAAGAGTTCCACTGTAGTTTCTCCTTTATAAAAGGTAAAACTTCCCATTTTCCCATTAGATTTCTTTATGCTTTATTCATGGCTGTATGTCTTTGCTATGACATTCCAATTACAGAGTGGTGTTTCCAAAGAGAGAAATTTCCTTGCCAAATTCTATAGACTAACAAAGAGGGGAGAATCACTAAAACGTTTAACTGTTTGCATAACTGACTAGATCATATGCTTATCCATCTGGGTTTTTTCAGTTATCCTTAACTGAGGAAAAGCTGAACCCTTTAATGTTTTTCTCTGGGACCAAGTGCCACCACCTACTTCATGGCAGCTACCCAAACATGCATAATAATATCTAAGAAGGAAGTAATAAGGCTCCATAGGACTAATCACATATTCATACCCCCAAATTATTCAGGATTATCTTAGTCATTAGATTTGAATAGTCCGTAGAACTTAGTCAGTGGAACAAAGATCATCAGCACTGAAGATCTGAAAGAGCTGTTTGACTCAACTGGTTATCTTTGACTAAAACTGGTTATTTGAACCAGCATCTGAACCTCTGAAACAACCCTAAAGCACCAGTGCTCAGCTGTTGGGGAACAGCCTAAATAGAGGAATTGATGTCACAAGACGACAGTAGATTGAAATGAGCTATGAGCTGATCTTCCTGCATCTTCTTGCATTCTAGGTAAAGTTATGGAAAGGGTTGTTAAAACTGTTAAATGTTCTTCTACAGGCATGGCTGTGCATCAGTTTATTCCTGAAGGGGCCCACCTGACCTTATTTAAAGAGGGCCAGTGGAACCACCTCCTTAACTGGCATCATTTCACTATGTATTTCTTCTTTGGGCTGGTGGGCGTGGCAGACATCCTATGTGTCACCATCCGTTCACTTCCCTCCTCCTTACCCAAGTTAATGTTGTCAAATGCCTTATTTGTGGAGGGTAAGTATAAGTATTTTTTGTACCTTTCTTTATTAGCGGGCATTTGTGTAGCCCTATAATATACCCAAAGGTATATTATAATAATATACCTTTGGTGTCTTGGTGCAGCCTTGATTGAGAGGGCCATTTATCTGGGTCAGAATGGGTGTCCTAGGCAGATGACAAAGATCTTCCCTCCCTACTGACTCATTTAGTAGAATTGGGCAAGCACAATGATTCAAAGTGGTTTCTTCACACTTCACATCTGTATTAAAGAACCACTTTCAATAGTTCCTTATGTCTATGTTGTCCTTAAGATAAACATTCTTTCTACTTTTAACAAGTGAAAACTGAACACAGTGAGGCATGAATATCCTGAAATGGGGAACCACTCAGAACAGATTCCACCATCTACTAACTAGCCCTTTTCATATTGATATAGCAAAACCCTGCCATTATGTGATAAGTAGGTTTCAAAAAATTCAGCCACCTAAAATTATGAGATCATAATTTTGAGAAGTTAATTAAAAGAATATTTTTAGTTCAATTCTGAGTTCCTAGGAGGGGAAATGGAAACAAGTGTTTAATGATTTATTGTCGTTTATTACAAGTATAAGAAATAGATCATGAACTTTAAAAAGGCCCAAATTAATCAGAAGGCAGTCACTCCCTGCTCACGTTGCTTCTGGCATCTGAAATAAAACTGTTGCCCATTCCTCTTTGGGACCAAGGGCTAGATAAAAGATGGGTGCCAACAACTAATAGTCTGATTCTTGTTATCTCAGGATGTTGCTATATTTTGAATGAACATCCTTTTCTGTTTATACAAACTAAAAGGATTAAGATGAAGGTGGCATCTCTCCAGTGGATGCAAAAGGCAGTTAGTTTCTATTTCTTGGCAGCTTCTCAGAGCATCTTGTCATACCCGTCAGAGTCCGCCCTTATGATCTGTGAGTGGACTGAGTTCCTTAAGGCGAGGATTCAGCTTATCCATCTGTGTGTCATCTTAATTCTTGCTCCCCTGCTTCTTTGTGCTTATTATTCCTCATCTTGCATACAGGATGATTTGAAATATAGTTAATTGAAAGTGTCAAAATGTGTTAAAGGAAAGAATAAAGGTTGGGGAAGAGAAAAGCAGAGTTATATCTCAACAATTCCACTCCAAAAAGGCATGATGACTTCAAAAATGCTGCAGAGTTGCAGTTCCCTGGGAATCAGTGACACCTGTGCTTTGTGTATACACAATTCTGTGGAAAGAGGGAGAGAGAGAAACAGCGATGGCCTTCGTTTCGTAGATGTGCACCATCTGGGGAATGATCATGCTGGAGACTCAGACTTGTGGGGGGAGGAGGGGAAAGGGCATTTATTGAAACCTTAAAATCTGTATCCCCATAATATGCCGAAATAAAAAAAATAAATAAATAAAAATAAAAAAAAGACGAACTTTTTTTTCTTCCCTCTATCAGCTTTTATCTTCCACAACCACACTCATGGCTGGAAAATGGTGGAAATCTTTATGCACCAGCTACTGGGTTTAGTCTTCTTTTTGACAGGCCTGGTGGCCTTCATGGAGTTCCTCCTGCAGAACAATGTACTTCTGGAACTTCTGCGTTCAAGCCTTACCATGCTTCAGGGGAGCTGGTTCTTTCAGGTGAGTTGGGCTCTCCAGTAAATGCACCTGGTGTCTCTGCCTGTAATTGCTCCTTATCTGATGGGGCATTTTGCTCTGGACACTAGAGACTTCCCTCCAACATGCTGCATGTCATGAGAACATGGGAATCTGAGGGGTGCTGTTTCTTAGAGTAGCCCGGTAGCCTTGGTGGGGGCATTGTCAGAGCAGCTGGGAAGGAAGTGGAATGTGCACATTTTCATGTCACACCTGAATACCCGTTACATAGGAACTCTGATCTGATGCTTTTAGTTAGAAGCAGTTCCTATTGCTAAAGCAGCTTACAGCCTAATGGGTAGTAAGTTGGAGAAAAACATGGAAGGTAGGAAAGAGGAATTTATTATTTTTTGAGAAACAGCTATATGTCGGCCAGTATACTCAACTTTTACATTAATATGCAAGGGAGATGTAACAGAAGGAGAGGCTGACCTAGGAATTCAGACTAACTCTCTAAAGAATCTAAATTATTATGTTGGTTTATGTGCATCTATTTAGAATAAAGCATTTGAGTACTGCTTTTCATAGTGCTATGATGTCCCTGGCTGGCGGAAAAGATGATTAAAAAGTCTAAGAATAATCTTTTCAAAACTTGTAAGGCAGATTATTTGTTTTTTATTTACTTGGTTGTGGTCATGGAGACTTTCCCAATTTTCAATAGAATGCTCTCTCAATGCTGCTGCAATGTCATAGGATAAATTGTGGTAAGTGCTTCTCGACATAAAGACTAGAGTTTCTGATCGTGAAAGATGATGCTGGATAATGTTGAATGAGAACATTTAATGTAGGTGGTTGGATGAAAGATACCAAGGTGTTAACTTAGAACTCTTTAATTGTGTGTGTGTGAGTTTTAAAAAATATATTCTGTATACATAATTGGTTTTCATCTGATTTATCTCTCGCTTTCTAATAGAAGTCTTTTAAAGCTTTATATTAGGGATTTATCAACTTTTCTTTCAGTTTTTGCTTTATTGGAAAGCTAAGCTCTCCATGTCTTTTTCTAGTTGTTTGAGTTGGTTGCTGATCTCATTTATTTTCAATCTTTTTTGTTTTAAAATAAATACATATAATTATATGCATATCTCTATACACTATATTAGCTGCCCCCCATAAGATTTGATATGTAGTAATTTTCACTGTTGGGCAGTTTTGAAAGCACATGCTGCCCTGAGGAGCAGGTTGCTTAACCCTGAGGAAGAGGGCAAAGAAAGCTTCCAGGAAAAGGTGAAGTCAAGTTGAGATTTGAGAGATGTGTGGGGAGCCTGCAGCCTTTTGACTGAATGCAAATTTTATGGAACAAGTCCTTTTATTAAAAGGGATGCAGCAGAGAAAGATGAAGTTTTCTTGCCTCCTCTGGTGCTTAAAAAGAACAATCTTGAAATCAGAAGGCCGTGGGATGTGCCTAGGCTTGAGGTTTAGGGTGAGTGATATTCTTTTGCTAATTTTGGTCTTGACCATTATATTATTTTCCTGGGCTGCAATAACAAATTTCTATAAATTTGATGAATTAAACAACATAAATTTATTCTTTTACCCTTCTGAAGGCCAAAAATCCAAAATCAAGGTGTTGGCAGGTTTGGCTGCTTCTCAGGGTTCCAGAGGGAGAATCTGTCCCACGCCGCTCTCCTAGATGGTTGCAGGCAATCCTGGGCATTCCTGCTGCGGCAGCTAAGTCCAGTCTCAGCCTCAGCTGTCACGTGATGCTCTCCCTGTGTGTATTTGTGTTCATTTTCTTCACATGGCCTTCCTATAAGGACACTACTCATTGGATTTAAAGCCATTTCTAATCCAGTAGGACCTCACCTTCACTTGATCACATCTGTAAAGACCCTATTTCCAAAGAAGGTCACATTCAGAGGCACTGAGAATTAGGATTTCAACATGTGGGGGGACCCAGTTTACTCCCTACAACTAACCCCTACGTCCTGCAGCTGGAGCACATAACTTCCCAAGCAGGAGTGGATAGATAGTGTGCATGGCATTGGAGGAACATGGTAGGACTGATAGATGGGAACAGGGGAGCCGTCCATAATATTTTATACTCACCCCCACCTCTAAGGGCTCTTTCTTGACATAGAATTTCTCTGTCAACTTCCATGAATTTGCTGTGAGAGGAGGATGTGAGAAGGACTATCTTGTGTCCTGACACTGCAGCTGAAACAGCTAAGGCCTTGAACTTGGAGTTGACTATGTGAGCTGGGTTTCATTCTTTTCATTCCAAAGAGTAAGCGCAGAGGACACAGAAATTTTTGCCTCCTTCTGGGGCTTCAGGGACCTGGGCTCTGACCAGTTGACCCCACAGTGAGCTTTCCTAGCAGTATACAAAGGCTTATTTCAAGACACTCACATATCCCAAGCATTAGAGAAAACAGCTGGGTGACATTCTTTGCCTGCAGTTTCTAAGTATCGCAGACTCTTTAACTTAATGACAGATGTGCTTTTTGCCAGAGGTGTTGACAGGTCATCCCTTTAGGATGTAGCCCTTTTTTAAGACAGAGGCCCCAGGCCTTGGTGGGTGATGCACAATAGCAGTGATACAGACATCTTTGCAACTGTTTGGGGACGGAGTGGCCAGGGCCATGCATCATTTAATTTTTCTATCTCTAATATATACAATGAATGCATTCTGTCTTTTGCAATATAGAGAAGGGCAGGAAAAATTTATTATAAAGTATCCCATATTTGTTTCAACTAATATGATATTTTAGGAAAAATTATGATTCTAACATTGGTTGATGAATAAAATGCACAGGGGCAGCATGAAAACAGAAAACCTTGGTCTACATTGCTCCACTCGTCCTTTGAAGTACCAAAGGTTTTAATTTTGGTGAAGTCTCATTTATATGGTTTTATTTTGGTTGATTGTGCTTTTGGTGTCATAGCTATGAAACTATCACTAAATCCTAGGTCATGAATCTTTCTCCCTATGTTTTCTTCTAGGAATTATATGATTTTAGCTTTCATATTTAGGTCTGTGCTCCATTTTGAGTTAATTTTATAAAGAACATGAGGTAGGGGTCTAAATTCATTTTTTCACATGTGAGTATCCAGTTTTCCCCGGACCTTTTGTTTATTTTTTTAAACAATTTTTTGTTTTATTTTTTATTTTTTTTAACATTTATTTTTTCATTTCTTTTAACATGATGACCAAAGACACAGTCAATACTCAGTAAACACATGAATATGAAACTGTCAGCACTATTTGTTGGAGAGACTACTCTTTCTCCTATTGAATGGCTTTGGCATCCTTGTCAAAAACCAGTTGACCATAGATATATGGGTTTATATTTGGACTCTCAGTTTTATTTCATTGATCTATATGTTTGTCATTATGCCAATTCCACACTGATTTGATTACTATAGTTTTGTGCTAAGTATTGCAATCAGGAGGTCTGAGTCCTATTAGTTTTTCTTTTTCAAATTTATTTTGGTTATGTTGTATCCCTTGCAATTCCATGTGAATTTTATAATCAGCTTTTTCCATTTCTGCACAAAAGGCCATTGGGATTTTGATAGGGATTGCATTGAATCTCTAGATTCCCTTGAGTGCTATTGCCATCACAACAATATTAAGATTTCCAGCCAATGAAAATGAGATCATTTTCTATTTATTGAGGTTTTCGTCAATGTCTTTCAACAATGTTGTGCAAATTTTGGTGTAAAAGTCTCCAACCTTCTTGATTAAATTTATTCCTAAGTATTTTATTATTTTTAATGCTATTGTAAATGGAATTGTTTTCTTAATATTGGGGGTGGGGCCTGGTTTTTCATTGCTTGAGCAAAGAAATACAACTGATTTTTGCATGTTATTTTTTATCCTTCAAATTTTCTAAAATCATTTATTACCTGTAGTAGTTTTTTTTGGTATAGGAATTTCTGTATATAAGATCAGGTCATCTGTGAATATAGATAGTTTTACTTCTTTCTTTTCAATATGGTTGCCTTTTATTTATTTTTTAGCTTAATTGCTACAGCTAAAATGTCATGATAATGTTGAATAGATGTGAAAGCAGACAGACATGTCTTGTTCTTTATCTTAGAGGGGAAAGCTTTCAGTCTTTTAATATTGAACTAATATTGAACTAATGTTAATTGTGGACATTTATTTATTTTAAAACCTTTTTGTTCTCTAAATTTGAAATAACAGAGTGAAACTACACATGTAGACACCTACAACATTCTCTGAAAGTCTATCCACTCTCAGAGATGATCGCTGTTTATATTTTATAAATTTATTATTACATGTCCTTTAAAATTTTTTTCAAAAATGTGATGTAGTTGATGCTGTCTTTATTAATCAAACAGGTAGCAAAACCTGATGCTTTATCTGTAACATCTTGGATAATGAGAGCTATCTTAGTTATTATTCATCTTGGAATGAAGCATTTTGAAAGATACCATTTTTGAGAATGTGATTGGTTATTTTAATATGTGCTTTTTGTTTTAAATTACAGATTGATTCTGTCCTGTATTCGCCCAGTTGGGCTCTTGCATGGAAGCTGATGGATAGTGACAACATTATGTTTCTCACCATATGCTTTTGCTGGCATTATGCAGTAAGCTTTATCATCATTGGAGCTAATTATGCCTTTGTCACCTGGTAAGTTAGTGATTTCTGTTCACGGACGGTTCTGTTTCTTGGTATATGATCATCAAGACTCAATAACATTGAATTTAAAATTCAAGTGTGTATTTCATTCCTCAACATCCCACAAGACAGGGTAGCATAACAGAAAATTATCTGTAAATACAGAAGTTCGCAGTAAAGGAATAAATGCGTTTATCATGTTGGAATACCTCAACAGTATCTATGCTGCTCTTTTGACCCATGCATTACTGGTCAATGCACTGTTCTATGTCTCTCTTTGTATATGTTACTTGCTCTTCTGAATGGTCTCCCCACCCACTGCCTACAGTGAGGCCTCCAGTTCCCCAGGTGTACATCCTGCAATTATAGCACTTCTTAAGCTTAGAGTCAGTTTTTGACCAACATGCATGTGTCTCACTGAATTTGAGTGCCTGATTAATTTGGCATTGACTATAATATGTTTAAAAGTAACATTCAGTTGAATACATTTTTTACAAGGACCCCATTATAATGTTTCATGAGTGGGTCAGGAGCAGTATAATAAATTGATAAGAACACATATTCCTAGCTCCACTATCTATCAGCTGAAGGACTTTGGACCATTTACTTAACCACATTAAATTTCAGTTTTGTTTTTGACTAATGGAGATAGTAATAGTACATAAAGGAGATCATGTACTTATACTGCTTAGGATATAATGAGAGCTCAATAAATGCTATTATCTTCTTATTGTTCTTGTTCTTATTGGCCTCCTCATCTTCTTCCTTTTCCTTCCTTTTTGGTATCAAGAAATGAATGAAATATAGATCCTGAGCATGAGGATTTTTAGTGTTATAATTAGGACTAAATTAGAGAGACAGATAATCAAAATATAGTGCAATAAATGGAAATAGTAGGAGAATAAAGGCACTATTGGAACTCAAGGGAGATTTCCCCACAACTGAAAATGAAGCTGCAGTTTGAAGAATGAGCAGGAATAGAAAAGAGTGGGCACAGTTCCTCTCTCTAAAGAGGTTACTGCTAAACCGCAGTGGGCCTCTCTGATCCCAATTACTAGGCAGAAAGGCTCTAGCGCCTAATCCTTTAGACTTCAGCACTGATTAATATGTTCTATGCCTGCATGTTCTCTATTGACATTTGCTCAATATGGTAGCCACTAGCTATTGAGCAGTTAAAATGTAGCAAGTGCCACATTAATTTTAATTAATTCAATCAATTTAAATTAAGTAAAATTTAAATTTAATTAATTAAATTTAAATATTGATTTAAATAAATGTGAATACTGGCTTCTATATTGGATACTACCCACTGGCAGGTTCTTTAGATTCCTGAAATGCAGTAGCTGCTTCAAGGCCCAGTGGCATCTCAGCCTCTGTGGGCGCCAACTTTCCACTCTTCTCTCCAGACGTGGCCCCCAGGTCAGCCCTCCGGCCTGTGCTCCTTTGTGCTTACCTGCTAAGGCAGCTCTGGTGCTGAGGCTCTGAGTGAAGAAACTGCTTTCTTGTCTCTGTTTGGCTTCGGGTCAGCCCACTTTGATTTGTAGTTTCCTTCTAGAGGTCCAAGTGCTTTGGGTACTAGGAAATTCTTCCTTCTCACTGACTGATTTCTGTTAGTCCTGTTCCATTCCTTGAAAGCATGTGCATGAGCTCATTGACAAAGTTGGCTCTGCCATTGTGTGAAACTTGGCTTCTTCCCCTGTTGTTCTAGGTTGACATCTCAGCGCCATCTACTTAGGGGCTGGGCAGCCTCCAAGAACAGTGCCAGCATTCAAGGAAATGCTCTACTTCATGTCAGCTCCCTTCTGGGGCCCAAACAAGACTACTGTCCTTTCCTGTTTCAAAAACCTTCTGACCCCTAATAAACTCCTATCCACTTATAGTTCTCTAGAGACTGGAAGCTCCATTTCTTATTTTTCATCCTGTCCCTATCCCCATGTGTTACTCTCATCTTTTGACCACACAGTTCCCTCTTCATGACATGTCCACATTAAATGCACATTTATATCACACTTTTCATCATTCTTGGAGCCCTTGCTCATCTTTCTTCAAGACATTTTATAGCACTTAGTCTCCACAATACATTTTAACAATTATGATCTTTCAGATGTTTAGCTCATGTGTCGTTTAGCTCATGTGTCTTAGTTTTATCTGCTGGCTAGATTGTGTCTCTTTGAGAAAAAGACCCTTTACATATGTCCCACACCTTTGGAACACTGCCAAACATATAGTAGGTTCTCAATAATCCCTTGTTTGCTGTTTTAATAGTCCTATGTAGCCTACATAAATATAGGCTTCATTTGTTAGGATATCATGTATTATATGCTTTTCCATTTTGCTTTCATATTGTTCTTAGAAAGATAAGACCAAGAGTTAAATTTTTTGGACATATTTTAATACAAACTTAAGCAAAAGCCCAAAAATATCATGGAGATTCAGCACTGCCTTTGATGAGGTCATATGGCAGGCTAATCCAGTCCTGTAATCATAAGGTGCCTTGAAAAGTCTGTTGGTCAGGATTTCACTGCAGAGTGGTTTGCATCCCACCCACAAGTGATGTGTTGTCAGAACATTGTATCAGAATTTGTTTGATATAGCACAGAGATCACCCTGGAAGCACAACTGGGTTAAGGAACTCTGAAAAACGAAGCTGTACTTCCCATCCTTCCAGAATAATGGTTTAGGATTGCCTCATCCAATTCCATGCCTGCAGCCTTGATTATGATAGCTCATAGGTGAGAACTGTTTGGAAATCTTATTGCATATTTTAGTGTATCTCTCATGTAAACCCCATTGTTGCACAGAATTATTTCAAAAACCTCTACAAGTAGGGAAATACTATCCAATTCCAGCTTATTTTTCCAAACAGTAATTCATATGAATAATTTTGAAGAACAAAATAGGGATGTCCAATTTCAGTCATGTGATGGTTTCGTGGAAGTACACCTATTATCTCAGCTATGTACTTTCTCATACTAATTGAGGAGAACATATGAGGGAGTAAAAGCATAGGCATACTCTGACACTAGTTTCCTGTATTTGCACCATTCCAGTAACTAGCAATTATTTGTACATCCTCTTTATTACCCCATTGGTCAATCTGCCCCATATGGCCATTTCTGCATATAGCTACAGGAGGCAGATAGAGCCTGGTTAAGGTGTCTGAACATATCCCAGGATGGTGGCTTGTAGCAACAGCACAAGCAAGCCAGAGAGGATAAATGAGAAACAGGAAGAACCACTAGGGTCTATGTTAACAATTAATTTGTAATAAGCAGCCATGTTTTTGTTTTCGAAAAGAGTCATCAGGAATGAAACTAATAAATCAATTACTTAATCCATTTAATTGAGCATATATTAAAGTTGTAAAATGTGGAAATAATGTGCAGTTTTAAGAAAATGATGCAAACACTGTCCTGCCTTTAACTTGCTTGAGAGTATTAGCCTTTCAGGAGAACAGTGGCTGGCAGGGTTGAGGACATTGGGAACCGTGTTGACCAAGAGTTAACTAAAATAATAAGGTAAATGGCTTCCAGTAGTTTTCCTTGGGTCTTGAGTCAACAGATGCTACTGATACTGCTCAATCAATTACTTAATCCATTTAATTGAGCATATATTAAAGTTGTACAATGTGGAAATAATGTGCGGTTTTAAGAAAATGATGCAAACACTGTCCTGCCTTTAATTTGCTTGAGAGTATTAGCCTTTCAGGAGAACAGTGGCTGGCAGGGCTGAGGACACTGGGAATCAAGTTTTGTTGTTTTGTTGCTTACTGGAGAATTTAATGCTGAGTTGGAAGTGACTGAACAATTAGCCTCTATGAATTGGTGAGCGAGATGAACTCTTGGCAGATTGCTCCAAAGGTCATTTATTTATCAAATGTGTATTGAGCTACTATTATTTACAGACATTGTTCCAGACTCTGGTGGGGGTCAGGGCAGTAAATAAGATGAAATTCCTGCTCTCATGAAACGTATGTTCTAGTAAGAGCCAGAGCACAAGTAAAGGCATTACATATCGATTGTGACAGACTAGCCTTCATCAGAAGAAGAAGGATGTTAGAAAATAAGGGTAAAGATGCAGGTGCATGGGGAAGTTTTCATAAAAGGAGTGTGATATTGGTGATTGGGTTTATCAAGTTTGTTTGCATATTCCTATGTATTTCTGGAAGTTAACTAAATTTTCTTGACATGATCACAGTGTAATGTGTTTATAATAATCGTGCATAGGAAAATCCTTGCCTAGTTCTTATGACACACTCTTTTTCTCACATCAGAGAAGTGGAGCACTTGCTGAGCTTCAGCTACACCTTCCAATTTCAAAATTATAACTGCTGCTTCCCTCCAACCTACACATTCTTTTCAGCTATGAAAACAGTCACAAGTGTGGAGTTCACCTCTTTTAACTTCTCAATTTATGGTGGACAGAGCCAATCACATGCAGTGGAACATCCTGTGCTCTGTACAAAAGCACCCACTGAAGAGGCTAGCAGGGGGTTGAAGTTTAGCCCAGACTTGACATGAGGCTTGATTTGGGCTGCCAACTCTAGGGAAGGAGAGGACTTTATGCACTTCCTTTACAGGAAAGGGCACCTTTTTGCAATACACAGCCAGGTGTGGCTTTGATAGAGAAGATCAACTAAGCTTGGTTTCATCTGGACTTCATTTTATTTTAGATATAATTAAAGTTATATTCTGATGTCTAATTAAATAATCATGCAATGTGTACAAAAGCCACCATGTATCTGTTTACTTACACCCTGTTTTCATCCAGAAGAATTTCAGTTGGCTCCAAAGCCAAATAAAAGTGATTATTCTTTTTGAGTTCCTCCCCTCATTTGCCCAAACAATCTCAAAAATCAGGAGGTTGTTGTATTACAGATGCATATGGCTCTGGGTTTCTATATTAAACACCAGCTAACTAGGGATGCTTTTCTTTCTCCTCAGGTTGGTTAAGTCTAAACTAAAGAGTTTCTTCCCCTCAGAAGTGGGACTCCTAAAAAGTGTTGAACAAGAATCAGAAGAAGACATGTGATTTGGATGAGCATCCAGTTTTCCTAGATAAACCTTTTCTTTTTTGTACTGTTGTTCATGGTTTTGTTTCTTCATCTTTTGTTTGGAGAACTGGCTAAGGGTAACTCTCAGTGTAGGGTTTGTATTTCCAATTTTATTGAAGTATTTGAATTTAAATGTTTTATTGTTAGCTCTGAAAATACGTTGGGTGATAAGTTCATTTTGCACATCATACATAACATATTATTCAGGGGCTAGAGGGAGTTTTTCCAGGTCATCTACATTTGATGCCCACACAATAAAGAAATATTTGTTTTACTTGCCTTATAGGTATGCTAAAGGTTCCTGGGCTTGCTGCCATCTGTAACTTGTTGAACATGGAGTTACACTTGTTTGTCTTGTTGCTAGAATGAGAAATAAATAAATACATGTTCCTTGGTGCATATGTCTCAAATCTTTGTTTTTGTTTTTTAACTACGCTCCACCCTTACACCATGCAGAAGAAGCTGGAGGACACAGAAAATCCTTTTGGTGAGAAAGTTCTCTCTGTAGCACCTGAATTCTCCCTGGGAAAGGTAGGCCAGGAGAGTCTCCTAGGTGTGTGATATTTCAGAGAAGATAAAATTATGATTCCCAGGACATGTGGTTGCAAACCCATTTGAGACCTGGAAAGGAGAGTTGTAGTGTTATCTGTAAGAATAAAAAGTCACCACATACCATAACATGGCCACCATGCCACCCACTCTGTTAAAACAGGCCAAGGGTTAAAATGAGGAAAAGGCTTTTATGGAATACCTGGATACAAAGTCAAGGCCCTTACCTAGTCTGTGGGCTAGGCAGCCCCTCATGGAGAGTTAAAAACTCTTGTTTCTAATTCTGGCTCTGCCATTAACAGCCTCAGGTCTGTAGTAATCACCATGTCTTTCTCTCTAAAGTAAAAATATTGAACAGAATGAATCATAGGTCCCTTTTGGCTATCACATTTTATGAATCTAGAAATGGAAGCATGTGGACAGGTAATGTAGTACAATGCTAGTCAGAAAGGCCAGTCTATGCTGTGACAGAAAAGGAAGGTGGACTGCAGGAATGCTTGGGGGATGGCCCAGATATGGAGGAGAATAGGTGACTTTATGGGCAGCTGTAGCTGAGACATGGACAACTAAATCCTGGAGGCCCCCTGGCATTCCAGAAGCATTGACAAGTCCAGAAGACTGCCCAGTCTGATGCATGTCACAGTGACACTGAATAGTCAGGTCAGTGGATTTTTCCGGTTCCAGAACTAGACACACTGATCATGTTACATAAATATGAAAAGAGCAGATGGGGGTGCCTAAATGTTTATGTTGAATGATGCAATTAACTTTAGAACATTCCTAGCATATGAAAATGCCCACATGCCACAGTCCACAGGGCATCATGGCATTCTGTCCCACGTGTGTCCTACTTCTCAGGGCTCTTTGGTACACCGGCAAGAATCTATGACTATGGCAAGTTTGGGTTTCAGAGGTGTGAGCAAGTGGTCACCTGTAGTTCCTTGAAACTGGCATTACTGGTATGTAGGCCTTAGCAGGGACTCCTAGCATTAGATAATTAGCATGAACCAGATTAAGCCTGGAATTTTGAAAACTGATCAGTACAAATATTCTGCATTGTTTATGAGAGAGAAGAAGTGTCCACTCTTCTAGTCTCTGCTTATACAAGTGAGATGCAACCTGGTGAGTTCTCAGAGGAGGATCATTTGTTTCATTTCTAAGTCCACAGTCTGGGGCTAACTGCCCCTAGTTCCTGAAATGAGGAATAAATTTGAACATTGTTATTGTAACTTTATACTTATGTTATTGGAATTATGTTTGATGACTACCATTTTTATGGAAAGTCATGAAAATCAGCAAATTGTGAGCTTGAGCCAAAATTGGAGAGTCTTGTATTTTCTCTATATTGTGCTGGGAAATCTTAAAGGCAATAAATTGAATTTGTAAGTATTTCAGTTTATAAAGAACTACATCTCAGTGTGTTTCCTGAAACCATGAAATATATTTCATAAGAAAAATATAAAAAGTTTTCAAGTCTAGAACATGGGATGAGGAAAATCAGTTCTAGATTATTCTTACCAATCTGTGGGAACCAATGGAACATTTCATTTAATGAATATTGATTCAAAAGTTACCACGAGCAGCTTGCAATAAACTGAGAATATAGTGTTACCCAAGCCAAAGTTTTTCCTCATCAAAATTGCATTTCCACAGGAGAAACACAATAACAAAGTCAACAAGTAAGTTGTATAATTTGAGGCAGTAATAGGTGAAATGAAGGAAAGCAAAGCTGGGAAAGAGAATAACAAACAGTGGGGTGGGTTAGGGCCACTTTTCCTAGGGTGATTCTTTCCTGGAGGTGCTTCTCCGAGCCCCTTTGGAAAATAGCCCCATTGCCCATCCCCTTCTCTCATTATTTGAAATTACAGTGTTTACATGTTTCCATAGCCTTTAGCATTGAAGGGGAAACCTTTTTTAAAGGAGTGAGGATGGGGGTTTACTCTATTAGTTTATATTTGATTTTGTCTCAACTCATCTAAACACCTGGAGTCTCAATTCTTGAACTTTTGCCACAGTTTCTTTGTGACTACCCCATGCTTCATTTGTCATAGCCAAAGTAGAGAAACCCTTCAAATAAGTCAGTGCATGTTAGCGTAGGAAGGACATTTTGCTATGCAGACAAAGCCTGTGGATGAAAAAGCTCTGTGGTCTCGTAATCATGCACATGAGGGGTGTGGACTGAGTATTCGACAGTATCAATAATGGGTGTGGTTTCGATAATAACACTTCAGTGATTTCTGTAATCTCCAATCTCTTTTTCTTGGAAAACTGCAATCTCTGATTACGCAAACTTCCATCACATTGTGAACTGGGATGGTAGGCCATGACCACATTGTGATACCCTGTCTCATCATTTCTTTACTATAGAAGCTCATTAGTTAAGTTTCTAATGATTATATTAATATCTTGGATGTGGATTAAAGAGGTGAATAGGAGTTACCGTGAGGTAAGTGAACAACAAAAATGAAACTGAGAAGTGGGGAATTCTTCCAAAATACAAGGAAACAATAGATAAACAATAGATACAAATTATGAACAGTCAGGTACATTTGCTCACACCTATAATCCTAGTGCTTTGGAGTGTTAGGTTAAAAAGCCTAGTAGGTTTTCATGGCATGGGTGGACAAAGATTTCTCATGCAAAGATTAAGATACATAAAAGTTAAAAATGCTTATTTTCTTAGAGGAGAGAGAGAATGAAGGAGTGAGAGAGAGAAGAAAGGAGAGCAGGCAGTTGACATGGCATCCCAAAGAAATAGAAGGAAGTGCCAGCAGGGAGGCCAAGTGGCTTGCTGATTTTATGAGGACAAAGAGAAAGAAAAGAACAGTGACTGTTGTCAGTTGAAAGAGAAGTGGCTGTGGAGTAATTAGTAGGCAGTTTCAAGAAGTCCAGTTATCTGTCTTTCTTGTTTTCTCTGTTCCTAGATGTTCGGAGTTAGCTACACTCCCAGCAAAACAAGTCCCAGGCAGGATTGTCACAAGAGATTTGGAAATGATAGAGACAAAGAAATAACAGAGACAAAGTGCAGTTTAAAGTGACAAGGGAGTCAGGAGTCCTCCAGCATCCTTGTGAGCTGTGAGGCACCAAGTGAAATCCCTCATCAGTATTTATTGTTACAGCAAATAGTTGTCCTTGGTTAAAGAATTAAGTGTACAGCTCATTCATTGAGGTTTCTAGGCTCCCAAAGGTATCAAGGGACACTTACCTAACTCTGTCTACAAGAATAGACTGTTACAAAATTTTTCTAAGATAAACATGTTAAGACCTAAGTTAGAAACAGACCTAGCTGAGCATACAAATTAAAGATAAAAATGTGTAAGTAGGAACACTGAGTCTGTATACTAATCTATCTATTTCTCTAAATACAGAGACATGTGGTCAGGAGTGAAGCAGGAAGAGCCTTAAAGTTTAAGATAGTTCCAGCTTCATGTTATCTGCTGGGCAGGCATTTTAATCAGCTTCTCAGCCAGGACCCAAACTGAGCTTTTGCTGTGCAAAAAAGCTCAAGGTGATGGCCTGCAGCATTGAAGAAACATTTGTTTGCAAATGTACTCTGACATTGCCTTTATTGTTGGGAGCAGCTTCCAGTCTGTGAACTAACACACCAACAGATTCCTTCAAGGCAGAGCCCTTGTAAAGTTCCTGAAACCTTTCTTGTCTCTAGCCTATTTTCTCCACACCTAGAGTCTTGGTTATCTCTGAAATATAGTCAGGCTTATTTCAGGGGTTGTGATTTTGCCCCTGAGATATGGTTTTGGGCAGGAAACTAAGGCCTGGAGTTCCCTCCTCTGATGTCTGTTCAGGAGCTTCTCAGGAATACCTTGAGGCTATAGAAAGGAATTCTAAAGACTGTGAGCTGGTGAATGTAAGGAGAAAGATTTACATTTCCTATTTGTCTGTTGGGCTCCTTTCAGATGTTTGTGAAGACAGAGTCCCTGCAGGGTGCCTGCTAGCTATGGAGAGAAAGAGCTGGGAGAGCTCAAGATTGATGTTTGGCTGTTATGAGAAAACTGTGGGTTAAGATATTTTCCTCTTATTTCACCAGAGCTGCCCCTTTCAGGACGGCAGAGGCAGGAGGATCACTTGAGACAAGGGGTTTGAGACCAGCTCAGGCTATAGCAAGACCCTGTCTCTACAAAATTTCTTTTAAAAAGTATGAAAGAAAAGTTAATACACATGAAGGTATCCAAAAAGTCTACATTCTCTCTCATGTGAATTCCAGAGAAAGAAAATTAATAGAATACAGACATGAAATAATATAAAATGATTTCCCTAAATAAATGGCAATGAAGGGAGATTTTTTACTAAGCTTGCAGGGTGGTTTCAAGAGATGTGTAGTGGATAGAATGATTGGATTTCTGTACTAAATCAGTAAAAATTCAAAAACTTAGTGCTTTATTATACTTTTACTTTCAGTTTATTTTAATTCTATTTTTACCCTAGTAGATTTTAATACCCAATTATAAAATTTCAAAATATAAAGGGGGTACAAAGGTTTTTGTTACATGGATACCTTATATAATGCTTAACTCTGGGTTTTTAGGGTACCCATCACCCAAATAGTGTTTTCTGTACCTGATAAGTAGGTTTTTACCCCTTATCTCCATTGCCCCTCTCTTCTTGATTTCTAGTGACCCTCATAACTCTCTGTGCCCATGTGTGCTCATCCATTAGTTCCCAGTTATTACAGAGTAC